AATTTGCTCATTATTTTCCCTACACGTACCGCCCAATATGATGAGATGCTTCCAGCTATTTGGAATGGATGTTAGATTGTGGCTGCGAACAGATACGATCCAAGCTTGGGCCTGGATCTGATTGATTTCTCAACGAAGTTAGGCTCAAAATTATGAATTTATTGAAAAACAAATCTGGTTAAACGTAACCTCAATCTTTTATGTAAGAGCTACTTTATGTCTCCTGTTTTCTCAATTCACTATATTGCTACAGGTAGACATGAATTGAAAATGAACGATGGACTAGGGAGAACTTCTTGCCATTTCACTCCATCTACCGATCTACAAAGGATGGCCAACGATGAAAATCTTCACAAGGCTTTTTCCTATCTCTACAAAGTTGGCAATGGTGATATTGAGTCCGACGAGCTTCAAGATTCCTTAATGGAGGACGGAGCACATGATTGTGCAAATGTAGCAAATGACATATTCCAGGAGGTTGACTCAGACAAGGTGAAAACAAATTCCAAGCATTGAATTCACGAAGTAGATGAATTTATTCTCAATCATTCGATTATAAATGCAGGATGGAAGAATCAATGGTGCATGGCATATCTCTAGATTGTGTTAGAAGACATATATAGATGCATATATTCATTTTACATGGACACACCCACTAGTGCACAAAAATATGTATTAGAGTTTACGAATGATCTTTCGAACACTGCTAAAATCAGATGTGCTTTATGCCCAATTCTTGAAACTATTTTTCTTCTCCATTCTTGCTTCCCTAGTTCCTTTCTGGTTTGTTTTATATACTACACCGGATATGACTAGAAATAATTAAGAAATAGATCAATGTTGCTTCAGGGTGGAGGTGAGCACTAATACTTTCAGACACTAATGTTATTGCTGTTCGAATATGTTTTATTGGCTTGCTTTACTGGGTAGAAGTAGGGGTCGTCTTCTTTCTTCAAAAGGTAGAATTTCGGTTTACCATTCGACCTTGGCAGAATATCTTTCTTTTACTAGGACGACAAGATGGGATAAATAATTATCTGCCCACTCGNNGGATAAATAATTATCTGCCCACTCGAAATTTTAAAGAATGGTCTTTAGAACGTCTGATCTAGAGTACCCAAATGCATGTTTTCGGTTCCGATTTGTCTAATTTAAATTGCACTGAAACAGTCGTTTTCTCTATTTGAAATGCTCGTCATTAACATCTGGTTCGGACAAGAGGATTATTGTATTCAATTGCGATGCTGTGTGAGCTTATCAGGTGTTATTCTAGTAATCAGTGGCCAAACATTAATTTCTGCATCCTCGTATACTTCTCGACATGGCTCACTTGAAATTAAGCATTGTTTCCGTGAAACCTGGAAGGCAGCTTTTGCACATAGGAACACGTGTCATTGTTCCAGAATGATAGACATTCTTTTCATAATTTGTGGCCAAACATTATTTTACTTCTTTATTTACATGATTGCTAAGTGGCTCACTGGAGTGTGAATCAAGTGTTATTTTGAAACCTGTACTGCAACATGCACATACATTTAAAAACAAGTCACCAAAGAAATAAATAAAAAAGGCATAAATCTATTTGAAGGCACGCGAACATTACCTTAAAAACAACCAAGCCCGTGCATTGCATAGGCAGAGGACTAGTTTAGAGAAAAGAGTAGTAAAATTCATGTTTCCAAGCCACTGACAAATTATTCAAAAGCATCAGTACACAAATAGAAAAAAAGACACTTTATTTTGGGGAGCTGGAAACATCTTCATTTGAATCCACGTCATTGTCCAAAGTATCTAAAGGGTCACGAGGCGAGTTTTCTACTGTTACAGCACCCGTACCGTCATTATCCTGGCTTCCGTAGAGAGACGAAAACGATAAAGGATTGTTTGTAGAGCTCGCCTTTCTAAGTCCCTGTATGGCTCTCAGTGCAGCGTGTACGCTTCGGCGTATACCCACAGCTTCCTCGAGGGATGGAGCTGTATCCATGGAAACATTTGAAACATCGCTAGCAGGCTCTGTGCCTATCTTTTCGTGTTCAATGTCAGCAGATTCATCGACCTCTGCTTCAAGTGGGAAGAGAAATTCAATATTTGTCTCGCACTCGATAACTAATCTCGTGAGAGGTTCGATTGTGAAGAACGGCTGACGAAGGGCGAGCTGTGTATAAGGTATGCACAACAATCCCCCAGTTCTTTTATCATATTTCTTCAGAATCTTAATCAGACCTAAAGAAAAGTGCAGCAACATTTCATTAAAGACTGAAAAACTGTACAAAATCCTCTAGAGAAATGTAATTTACCTGCCAAATTAAGAGAGCTATAATTTTTTAGCAGAACCATTTCCCCATGAATGGTGACGAAGTCCTTCCGGATTTCCATCATCTCTTTGCTAAATTCAGTCTCGGAGGTAAACACTCCATCTTCGCTGTCCATCTTCAATAAATCAATTCTTTCCTTTAGCGCCTGCCATAACAGTTGCTGACAATGAACATAGTGACATGTCGAAAATTTTACCAAATTAATGGTTTAATGTAAATAACTCTTCACATCTACTATTACACTACGGATCAAGAACCTAAAGCAAGAATAGGTAACTTCATATTTGAGAGTTTAAGAGATGAAATCGATGCCAAAAATTTGGATGGTTAAGTCTGGATGCAAGGAAGTACACTGATTCCTCTTTGACAAAAAAAGGGTTGTGGGTTTTGTCTAGATTTTCTGGAAAACCACGATTCCGTTTGATTCCAATTTCTCTAAGGATTTTCATGGCTTAAGATGTTTACACTTTCAACATTTATCTAGCAAATGGTGAAATAGATGGCGAGGCTTTCACGATTAAAAGATATATAGTCCATGTTTGAGCCACGTTAAAATTTTCAACCACACATTTTTCAATAAAATAATATTTTCCATTACATCAATAACTTTTCCTTTTATTTCAACCATACATTCTTCATCAATCTACTATTCTAAAATACATTCTTCCAAAATAATGTGGCTCAAACACACCCACAAAACAAGCTTGGAAATCTTAAAGATGAGCAACAGGTGTGTGGGAGCACGTACGCTCAAAATAAGCCAACATAAGCCACCCCAAACATGCCTTAACTAAGCAACCAAATTAAGATATTCCTGGGATATTCTTTTCTACAACGACATCATAAAGATTGATGATCACTAAAACCTGATTCTACTTCCAACTTTTTCCACAACTATTCCAGCAACATCAAATTTTAAAACAAATTGCCTCATGAATTGTCCTTTTCTCTAATTACTTTCAACTCTATTTAGCTTCCAAATGCACCTATTAGCTCATGATCTATTGTCTTCCTACTCAAATTACAACTAAATTTGCAGGTACAATTTCTCCATTCTTTTAACGAGCAAAGCAGCAATTAGAAAGGCTCAACAATTTCTGCGTCGATAAAGAGGAGAATTTGTGAGCTGTCCAGGTTCAGAAACAGTAAATTCTTCTCCTCTTCCCACCCCAACACACACAAAAACACGAATTCTGTTTTCTTTTCTTGAATAAAATTAAGAAACCCAATTAAAAAGATAAAACTTTGCTATGATAACAAACTCCAAGCTTTAAAAAACCCATAAAAATTAACTTACTCAAGAGCTTGATTATGATTACAGAACACTAATCAAAGCCAAGAATTGCAATTATCTATTTAGACATCTTTGACCTAATCAGAGCTTTCAAGACAACCTTAATTAATCAAGAAGACATCAATAATTTATCAAAATAACTAAATAAATTACAGATATGGAATGTAATTGTGAAACAGATATACATATATAAAAAAACCTGGAAGCGAATGATGAATTCTTCCTCTTTATCGACGTAGAAATCGTTGAACTTCTCGAGTTCATCGTTGAGAATCCCAATGAACCAATCCTGCAGCGTATGCAACGGCATCATCGGGGCCGTATCATCGCCGTCCACCGGCGAAGGATTCAAGGTAGAATCGCCTGCGGGTATGTTCTTTAGGAGCTTCTTCAAGAGTTTGTAGCACAAATACTTGTCCCTCCATTCTGGTAGGGTTTCTTCTAAATGAATACTAAATTCTTTCCCGAATTTCATCTTCTATTACAATTGTTTTACACTGATTTAAATACAATTATTGTTGTTTGGAGAAATTAATGTTTCGTGATGTTTTTATACTAATTCTGAAAGGGAATAAAACGTGAAAAAAATTTGCAGAGGGGTTAAGATCACAAAGAAACCAACGCAAACCTTGAAATTACAAAAGAATATTCTCGAGGAATTAGAAAGGATAAACAGAATTTATTTCATCTCGGCTGAATTTACAATTTGTTAGTTTTGTATTTAAGTTACAGCATTGATGGTAAAAAATTGAATGTAAATTGATATTTTCAAATTTATATTCTTATACATCTAAATTCAAATTTTGCTTTAATGAAAAAAAAATTAAATTCACTTTTTGCCTCTTGTGGAGGTAAAAAAAAATTACATTTTTTAATTTTTTTTGTTGAAAAATGTAATTTGCATTTCATTTACATCTTTGTTGTGGAGGTTATCGATCGCATGGGTATCTAAATCACAATTTATATCTATTTTACATTATGATTGAAGTGTTCTTAAAACCACAGTAGCAATGAGAATGTGAANATCTTTGTTGTGGAGGTTTTCGATCGCTTGGGGATCTAAATCACAATTTATATCTATTTTACATTATGATTGAAGTGTTCTTAATACCACAGTAGCAATGAGATTGTGAATTACTCTAAAAAATGTCACATTATCTTAAATGTCTATACGACTCTCTTGTAAATGGGACCCACAGTGTTCTCAATCTCCAACTCCATTATAGATTATCTTTTCTCTATTCCTCTTTCGTGTACATCAATTTAAAAGGTAATTAGCACATAACGTCCATACATTTCATTGTTATTGTGGAAAATGTTTTTACCTTTCATTTTTTGACATTTTCACATTTCATTGCGTAAAATGTCATATTCATCTATTTTCTCACTTAAAAATTTGTGAAATGACGAATATATCCTTATTTTTACATAAAAGAAAAAGAAAAAATTAATTGCGACCGTAATCCCAATTTTAAAAAAAACGTAAAATGAGTCCTAAAAAAATTATTAAAAGAGTAATTAGTATATAATATTCATAGCTTATTAGCTTTCATTGTTATTGCGAAAAATGTCATTACCTTCAATTTTTTTTTGACATTTTCACTCTTAATTACATTTCTTATTGCGCAAACCATCGTTTCTATCCATTTTCATCCAATTTCTCAATAAAGAGTTGTGAAATTATGAATATGCCATCATATGTAAATAAAAAAAGAATTTTTTTAAATTCTAATTTTTAATAATTTATTTGGGACTCGTTTGTAATTTTTAATTTAAAATAATAATAAATTTAATTGGGACTTATTTGCACTTTTAAAAAAAAACTAATTTGTAATAATTTATTTGGGGCTTATTTGCACTTTTTAAAAAAAATTAGACTATGGTTGCTATTAATTCTTTAGCCTTTTTTATTTAAATACGAGAGTATATTCGTCATTTCAAAACTCTTTTATTGAGAAAATGGATGGGAATTGATAGAAATGATGGTTTGCGTAATCAAGTGTGTAATTAAGAATAAAAATTGTTACGGTTCGTAAATGGAAGCGACGCGTGGCACCATATTGCAGTGGTGGGACCAACTTAGTTAGGTCATGGTGTATTTTCCTAGCCTTTGACATGGAGACCGAGGCCCCAGCTTATTCCGAGGCCTTAACTGATCCGAGGCTTTCATTTATTACAGGGCTATGTTATCAATGAAGATCCACGTGGAAAAGATATAACAATGATGAAGATCTTCATGTGAGTGATTGATGTGACTTTTGTGAAAAACAACTTTATGTTCTGTCTTGTCAATGTAAGAGTATTTAATGTTTTGTAAGGTTAGGAAAGTCGACTTGATTTCTAGGATTTGATGCCCTGGCCGAGGAGATGATGCCACTTTTAAATTGATCCAAATGTCATTATTTCATTTGTAACAATATAAATACCTCCACCATATAACACAAAAAAGGTAATGAAAAATTCCAAATACTTGAAGTAATATCATTCTCCTCTCTCTCATTGGAACATCGAATTTCAACTATAAATTTTGTTTTTATCGATTGGTTTCTTATACAATCGTGTTACATTTATCTTGTCAGAAGCCTGAACGGAAACGTCTCGTGTCTTTGAGTTATTCCCACGTTCAGTTTCTGGAGTCATCTTGACCGTTGATCGGCGTTAACGTATTGGATCAAGTTTACGTGTGTACGAGTGGGCCCGACATCTATTGGCAACATTTTTTGGGGTCAACAAAAATGCCAAAAAAATAAAAGGTATGAACATTTTTCTCAATAATAGTGAAATGTAATGACATTATGTGCTAATTACCTTTTTAATAATTTATTTAAAACTCATTTGAGCTTTTAAAAAAATTTTGGGACTATAGGTTCAATCTTTTTCTGTTATTTAAAGAGAATGATATATTCGTCATCTCACAATTTTTAATTGAGAAAATTGATGAAAATGACATTTTGCTCTATGAAATGTGAAAATAAATGTGAAAATGTCAAAAAAAAAAAAAATGAAATGTAAGGACATTTTCCATAATTATAGTGAAATGTGGGGAGTTATGTGCTAATTATCCCAATTAAAATTATTAAATTAGGGATATACTTGGTACAATAATGTGCAAAATTTTCCAAATGTATGAAGCCAATGAATTGGTCAATTACCTCTCAGCTACAAAGAAACCTCTAAACTAGACGAGAATATTCTTATCCTAAATTCTTTGAAAGTACTAGAGCCAATGACACGGTGAAGTGACAATCCGCTACAAACAAGTTGGGTTATATTTAAGAGTTTTGCTACACAAACATAATGCTTGACATAGAGGATGACACAACACACACATGGGGGAAGTCAGTATTATTTAATTCAG